ACCCTGGGCCCCTCCAAATCTCAGCCCGTCCTGGTTACATGGTTGCTTAATGACACTCATTTTAACATCCCTAGTTTAAAGGGAGACTATGCAACCTTTCAGGTATCTTATTTATACCTGGGTAGGAGTCTGATCCCTGGATCAATAGAGCTTTGAGTGTGAGAGAAAGATTCAGGTAGACATGACAGTGTTGCCAAATGTGTGAATGCCACATCAGGTCTGTGAGACTTGACAAGGCTGTGTCAGACATCTGCCTCCACAGCAATTGGGAGTGGAACATGATGTAAGAGGATCTCCTCCACATCTACCCACAAAACCCAACCCACTGTATCCCTGCTTCTGCATCCCTAACCCTTGCCCCAGGTCACAACCCAAACTCCTGCACCCCTCTGCCACCCCAGTCCTTTGTACTGGGTCACACCCAACCCAAGTTGCTCCCCAAGTTTCCTTCAGCACCCAACCTCCATCCCAGACCCCACACCTCTTCTATTAATATCATGGAAGAGTGCATCCCTTGACAATTTACCAAATTCTTGGAATGGCACCCCATAAAAAATTCTTGCCCTAATCTAATGCAACCCGGGGAAAAATTCAAAGAATCTAGCTACTGAGATAGTTGTTAACCTTTGTTCTGAGTTTTTTTTGTCACGTTACTGGATTTTAACAGGAGCAGCCAGATCACCGCTTCACCCATGGGGGGTGGTATTTGCCCCAAAGTGTATACAAAGGGGGCATGTGAGGTGTCAAACAAAAGCTTACCTTCTACTGATTCTGTAGATGCTGTTCATGTAATTGTATAGTGTCTGTATTTGGGGTATAAACATGTACTCTGTATGGATGCTGGAAACTTCTCTGTCTGTGGCTGAGCAAAGCAGAGGAATGCTCAGCCAATGGATATGCTAACGAGCGAGGCTCCAGGGACAGTGGATCTCTAAATGCAAAAGACACACTTGGCCACTGACCATGTGACTCTCTCCAGCTTGGAAGAGACCAGGGATGGATTTAAAACGCCATGTTGCAGACTCCACTTTTTGCCTTCAGTTTTGCTCCAAATCCCCAGATGCAGCCTTGCTGGGAACCACGAACCGGAAAGAACTGTGGACCCATCTTGACTTAGGATATACACCAAAGACTTTTAAGCAAGCAGTTATAACATCTCTGCTATGAGCCTGCATTGAGAACTGGGTGATTTGATGCATATAGTGTTTGGGGCTGCCCCTCCCCAGGAATCTCCTGCTTGCGGTACAGAGCGGGGCAGGGGCGAGGATGGGGTGTTGATGTCAGGGTTCCTGCTCTCTCACCCTCTATCTTCATAGAATGGGGGAAGCACAAGAGGACTAGGGATGGAGGGCGTTTGCTGGCTGTTTTTGGGAGTTATGCAAGGCCAGGGCAGGGGTGAGCCTGCCTTAGCTCCACTGCACCACCACCCAGGAGCCCCCTGAAGTAATCAGCGTCCAGCTGGAGCCAGCTCGGAACCTCTGCCCCAGTTATGAACCCCCCCCCCCCACACACACACACACTCAAGCTGCTGCCCCAGCCCCGAGCTCCCTGGACCTAAACTCCCTTACAGAGCCTGTACTCCCTCCTCCACCCCAAGCCCTTGACCCCGGCTTAGCTCAGAGCCCCTCTCATACTCCAAATCCCTTAGACCAAGACCAGAGCCTGCGCCTTAATCCCCTGCCCCTGCCTGGTGAAAGGGAGGGAGAATGAAGGAGGGAGGACGGAGGGAGCGGGGGCAGGGCCTCAGAGATGGGGCACGAAGGAGACGGGGCAAGGGTATTTGGTTTTGAGGTAGATCCTGGATTGCGCTTAAATTCAAAAAGTGATCTTGTGCTTAAAAAGGTTGGAGACCACTGATCTAGATGGTAGTTGGTCCTGCCGTGAAGGCAGGAGCCTGGACTTGACGCGTCAAGTTTCCCTTCCAGTTCTAGTGTTCTGTGATCCATTTGAAAATAAATAAATTTGATTCCTTGTGCATTCTATTTTTATTTATTTTTGGATCAAGAATTATTGAATTATTTTTGGATCACTAATTAGATATTTCTCAGTTGACTCATTTTATTTTGGCCCCAGACATAGCTCACACTTACACAGTTTTCCACTTTGGCTCTGATATTCATGTTTAGACGGTGACTGTTGAGTTTCTGTGGCTATACAGACCCCAGTAGTATTCAGCCATCAAGTCTGAGAGCAGAATCCATGATATTTCAGGCAGCAAAATAGGGAGGTCTGGCACCCTTGGTCGGACTGGTCCCAAACGAGGAAGTTTATAGGACCAGAGTTTGCCTGTGCTCATTGGTTAACCTTCATGATTACACACAAGCTGTCCTCCCCCAGGCCCTTGTGAGCACTGGCTTCCATGGAGTCTCCTTTGCCTCCCCCATCCCGTACTGCTGCCTCTGATACAGAGGCAGCAGCATGGGTCAGGTGAAAACTTTCTCCCCACGTGCATCAGCTCCCATGAAGTCACCTCCTCCGCGGTTAATGAATAACTGCTAAAATCTGCAGCATTTACACCTTTACAAAAAAAAAAATACTTTTTTTTTCTAACATCCCTACCACCAGTCCGACTCTACTCCTGGGCTGGCTACTGGCCTCCCAGCCGGCTACCCCCATGCCACTGGTCCAGTTGGGCTCATGAACACGGCAGAGCTGCTGATCCCCTGTTGCACGGACTCTGCTAGAGCCTGTTGTCCTTACCAGCTGCCCTCGCCAGGCTCCTGGATGTCAGCCTTGTTGCCATGTCGGCCCACTGGGCTCTCAGCCCCACTGGAACCCATTGCTGTGCCAGAGCTCCTGACTGCCAGCTCCACTGCCAGCACTGTCAGAGCCTGCTGCTGATTTGGGCCAGCCAGACTCCCGCAGTAGGGCTCCCAGCCACTGCCTCCACTGCTCTTGCAGCACTCCCGGAGCCCGCTGATAAGTCGGCTCCTATGCCACCAGCCTTCCCAGCCATCAGTCCTTCTCTGGGACTCTTTTGTGCGGGTTCAACCTGTACTATTGTTTTAATGATTATCCAGTCTAATATAAACCAATCACAGGGTTAATCATCCCATCATTGCTTCCGAGTGTCAGTTGAAATTTTAAAAGTTAGTGTTCATTAATGATTTTCTTACATTAGGCCTCCTCTCCCCTTCCCCTGCATCATATTATTGGCAACTCTGTGTCAGTGGGGAACAGGTGGCAATTTTGTTGGACATTTGTGTGTTTTTTCTCTTTGCTTTTTCTTTTTAATTGTACAGTGTTTATGCTCTACATACACACATCTTCAATTTGTAGCTCTTTATTATTTGTAGTATGGCCTCTGGCATGTGTCTGACAATAAGAGATTGACCCAAGCCCCTTAAATTGGGTTTGAAATAGTGATGCATATGCATCTTTGCAATTATCAGTATATGCCGATAGAAGCATGTGTTCTGCAGGTATAGGAAGACTTCCTCCCTGAATGACATTAGCTATGTGTCAACTTGTCCTGGCATAGCTTGCACCTTCACTGTGGGTTTTGTTGGCATAGCTATACTGCTGGGACAGAGGGGTAATGTTTTTTTGTTCATACTCCTGACTGACACAGGTATACCAGTATAAATTTTAAATGTACAGTACAGGACAGGCATTTAAATTTGTAAAGTACAGTCAAGGACAGGCATTTATCCTTGACTGTACTTTAGCATAGAATGCAGACATGCTGGACTAGCGCCCCAACTCCTCAACCCGTATCCTTTTGTTGGCAATTTAAATACCAATATCAACAGAAATCTTACCTTCTAGTTTTAGAACCTGGTTCCTTCAAGCCTAGAGACATACTGCCATCTCCCTTATGTCCAGAGTGAGGTGGTGGTGGTAAGTCACGGACAATAAAACATTATGCCCATGCAGAGTTCCAGTACCTACTGATAAAGGTGGGTCAATGGGAAATGCTGCCACCTTGTTACAACTGGATTTAGCTAAATCATTTCTCATAACAATATGAAGGATCTTGAATTCAGTGAGCAAAACAGCATTTGAGTTCCTATCAATGATTCATCCAGATAGGGCATTTTAGTAGTTTTTGAACTCTGTGTTCTCATGCATGTACGGGGTTCTTAATGTGTATCCAACTGGCAGAAGGCATTCATTACAAATTTGATTTGGTGGGAATGCAATTTTTAGTGGACCATATGGGGCACTGAACTCCAAAAAAGTTTAGATTCACATTTTTCTCATCCAGGAAACATCTAAATTGTGTTAGGTAGCTCATGTGGAAAGGTATAGCTCCGGGGACCACCTCTTCCATTTGTTTTGGGAGTTATTTTATAATTTCTTGCTATAATTTTTGTTTATGTACCTGCTGTTACAAGAGATCCTCATTAAAATAAGTTTCACTTCCCGTAGTCTTTTACTTATCAATATCTTGGAATTTGTTAATTCATCATAAAATGAAGTTCAAACAGGCATACTTGAAACATTTCTAAGCAAATCATGTGAAAACATGGGACATTCAGAGTTTGTCACAAAATAGATGGAGTTATACTATGAATTTTGACTTCTCTTTTGTTAATTTTCCACAGCTGTTAACCCACTTTTCCATTTTTGCATATAAAGTAACTAATTTGTCATGTGTTTGCATTTCTTTTGAATTTTATGTCTATTTCAGTTGATGTATTGTTTGCTTTGGTGTGTGTTGTTTTTTCATTGCTCTTCTATCATTTTACTAAAGCTTTTATCCCACATCCTGTAGACTGTTGCTTATATACACTTCTGAGTGCCCAGATCAGCAAAAACTATTTACTATACTCATTTAGTATATTCTGCACACTCTTCTCTCTCTCTCTCTCTCTCTCTCTCTCTCTCATTTCTGTTTTACAATGTAACAATATACATTTTTACTTATTTTTAAACGAAAACCAGAAACCCTAAGTGTCGAATGTATGTTTTCTTGAAAAGTATGTACTTTTTATATATACAGCTTTAAAAAATACTAGCTTTTAGAAAAAATGTCCATTTCTTTTTTGTTTGTATAGGGGAAAATGCAGTGTTGCACTTCTGAATGAGACAGAATCTGTGTTGTCTTATCTTGAAAAAGAGGTAACACACATCACGAAATCCTTTCTTCATTTAGATTGTATAGATCTCATTGATATTTGTCTTCTCCCATTTATAGTAGGATTTTAGGAAATGCAGTACAATTTAAAAAAATCATTATTGAATCTTGTAAGAGATTGGTGAAGATACCTCCTGGCATTATAAGGACTGTGGATTAAAGTAATTTAATACGTTGTATTTTATCTTTATTGTTATAGTCAGCCGAATAATATTGTCACCTGGATATGAAAACTAAAATATGCAATTCCTTCAGATAAGTTAGAGACTTTTTAAAAAGTAAGTTTTAAAAATAGATGATTATAAAACCTTGTATATAAAATGCCCTTTTCAGTGGTTTTAGTTTTTTAATATTGGGCAGACACTTTTTTGGTTTGAAAACAGTATTGAGTTCATTTTCATAGTTGTGGTCCAGCATTGTTAAAGTATTGTAAGCCTGGTTCTCAAAATAATGCTTAGCTGCTACTCCAGTCAGCAGAGATAAAGGGCACACATGTACTGTTTTTGTGTAGATCTTACTCAGAAATCGATAGTGTTATCTGCTTAGTTGTAATTTGTAAAATTCTCTATGAAAGGGTAATTAATTAAGGGGGAAAAAGTAAAATTCAGAAGATAGTTTCCATCAGACATACCAAATTTTGGGGATAAATAACTGGTCATTGTACCTGTAATGTTACATTCTTATGAAATGTCTTCCAAACTTTTTTATTCACTGTAAGATACTCTGTATCAGCCATTTAATGAGGGCTACACTATTCAATATACTTAAATCTGTATTCATTAAAATATATTTTGTAGGCTTCTTTTTTGGCCTGCTTTTCCACCCTCAAAGGGAGCTTGAAAGGTCAGTAACTGTGATATTGAAGGGGTACAGTTTCCTTCTTGTGTTTGTAATTTTTAAATGAAAGAAGTTTGTAAGTTTAAAGTTAAATGAAGCAATCAAATGAATTAATATTATTGCAATATCTTTTCATTTTTAGGATGCTTTTTTTTATTCACTGGTATACGATCCATCACTGAAAACACTTTTAGCAGATAAAGGAGAGATCAGAGTGGGACCTAGATACCAAGCAGATGTACCAGACATGCTTGCTGAAGGTAAATATTTTTTTTGGCCTTTGAATGTTCAAACAAAATCAGCATATCACATTATTATTTCTATTGACTTGCAATGGTGAGAAATTCACCTTCCAAACAGAAAGACCATGGTTTGTTATTGTGAAGAACAGAAAAAACTAAATTAGAATACATTAATGGGGCACCAAGGGAGGTAAGATTGATTAACCAATGAAAAGATGTTATGAGTAAGTGAGCGTTTGAGCGTTATCTATGATATATACATGAGAGTTTGTGAGCAAACGAGTGTCTCTGTTCGTCCATCTGTTAAGAACTCCTCCTAAACGGTAACAGCTAGGAACCCCACCCAATTCATACAGAGACCCATAAAAAGAACTCATCCTAAACGATAAGAGGTAGGAGCACCAAATTTGGTATACAGCTTCCTCGCATCATAACTTAAAGCAGGGTTTGGTTGGCAAGGTGGGATGCTATGGGGATGCTTATGGGGAAGTTTCCACAGCCCCTGATTCATATAGGAACACACAGAACCATACAGAAAGGAGTCAGTATCACCGGTCAGGTGAAAGGGATGGCTGGGGGCATCCTTCTTCTTCCCCCCTCCCGTCCAGGACTGCCCCATCCCTAAGACTGCTTCCCCCTTTAGGGAGGGCGGGGAGGGGAAGTTATATATGATGAGAGCTATATGATGAGAGGAAGCTGTACCAAATCAAGTTCTCTTGATTCATATGGGAACATTGCTGGCTGTTCCCCTTCATCAGAAAGTGAGGGGAAAGTGCACAGTTTGCTACATTTCTCTCTGACTGGGGCGTGCATGGGCCAAACAAACCTGGACCTGCCCCAGCTGGGGGACATGTACCTCTTCCCCAGCTGTGCCCACTGGATCTGCAGCAATCATGGAAGGGCATTTCTCACCTGGCCCCAGGGTCGTCTTTCTCAGAGGAAGCCTTCATACTCATCCCCAGTCCCACCCCAAAGCAATGATTTAAATGAAGAAAAACAAATACTAATTAAGAATTCAAGCAACACCAGGTTAATCTTCTTGTGGTATAATAAAGAGGATTTTTTTAACTGAACTTTTCTTTAGTTCAGTTGACTTATTTCAGGTAAGCCTCACAGGAAAAAAGTATTTTAGTATGAATATTATAGATCCTCTGGAGCAACAATAATGCAAAAGAAAATTGTATGGTCTCTTAAAAAGGCTTTGCATGCTGAACACATGGCCTTCACTTGTTAATTATCAGCTTACGTAACAAGGCTAAAGTGGTATTGTGATATCTTTTTTGTTCTGTAGCAGGGTTGAAATAAACATTTCTTCTCTGAAAACATCTTGAAAATCATTGGTCTTCTTACCTTGCTCATGTAGTTAGAAATTTTAAGAGTTCCATTAATCTTTTATATTTTATATGAATATTACATATGACATATATTAAAAGCTGATTTGTAATGTGAAGGATATGAACTTTGTTCATCATCTATTTGTAGTGCACATATATTGGCTTTGGAAATTTTATGAGCAGTATTTGTTACTTAGTTTTATGTGCTGATTAGAGTGGTACTAAAGGAAGCAGTTTTCTTGAGGGATGTCTAGCATATAAATATTATTTCCCAACAATCTTAGCTGTTGTTTATTTCTTAATAAGGAAACCTGTTTATAGCATTAATACAGTTGCACAAAGTCAGTGGGAGTTCTGAGTGCACATGTTTGAGGGGGCGTACAAACCCCACACTAGACAACAAGGGGCTTAGGGATTATTTTGGGCTCAACCAGTCGCACCCCACCGCACCTGCAGTAAATGCTCCATCTGCTGGAGGAAATAAAAGTCTTAAAAGTCGGTTCCCCCCAGCACCAGCTCCATGGTGCGGGGTACGGGGAGGGAGGCAGAGGCTCCACATTCTGGGACTTAGCATCTGCTGGAGCTCAGACCGCTGTGCCTATGCCTTTTAAATGTAGTAAGAACTAGGCGGCTCCTCGTACTATATTAATATTTGGGGGTAGGTCCAGGACCTGTGTGCCCAGTTCCTACTACATTTAAACTGCAGAGCTGCAGCGGGGGGTAGCTCCTGGACCCTGTCTTCCCTTATTGACTAATTGTGTAGTCAATATCTGACTGGGGCGTGCATGGGCCAAACAAACCTGGACCTGCCCCAGCTGGGGGACATGTACCTCTTCCCCAGCTGTGCCCACTGGATCTGCAGCAATCATGGAAGGGCATTTCTCACCTGGCCCCAGGGTCGTCTTTCTCAGAGGAAGCCTTCATACTCATCCCCAGTCCCACCCCAAAGCAATGATTTAAATGAAGAAAAACAAATACTAATTAAGAATTCAAGCAACACCAGGTTAATCTTCTTGTGGTATAATAAAGAGGATTTTTTTAACTGAACTTTTCTTTAGTTCAGTTGACTTATTTCAGGTAAGCCTCACAGGAAAAAAGTATTTTAGTATGAATATTATAGATCCTCTGGAGCAACAATAATGCAAAAGAAAATTGTATGGTCTCTTAAAAAGGCTTTGCATGCTGAACACATGGCCTTCACTTGTTAATTATCAGCTTACGTAACAAGGCTAAAGTGGTATTGTGATATCTTTTTTGTTCTGTAGCAGGGTTGAAATAAACATTTCTTCTCTGAAAACATCTTGAAAATCATTGGTCTTCTTACCTTGCTCATGTAGTTAGAAATTTTAAGAGTTCCATTAATCTTTTATATTTTATATGAATATTACATATGACATATATTAAAAGCTGATTTGTAATGTGAAGGATATGAACTTTGTTCATCATCTATTTGTAGTGCACATATATTGGCTTTGGAAATTTTATGAGCAGTATTTGTTACTTAGTTTTATGTGCTGATTAGAGTGGTACTAAAGGAAGCAGTTTTCTTGAGGGATGTCTAGCATATAAATATTATTTCCCAACAATCTTAGCTGTTGTTTATTTCTTAATAAGGAAACCTGTTTATAGCATTAATACAGTTGCACAAAGTCAGTGGGAGTTCTGAGTGCACATGTTTGAGGGGGCGTACAAACCCCACACTAGACAACAAGGGGCTTAGGGATTATTTTGGGCTCAACCAGTCGCACCCCACCGCACCTGCAGTAAATGCTCCATCTGCTGGAGGAAATAAAAGTCTTAAAAGTCGGTTCCCCCCAGCACCAGCTCCATGGTGCGGGGTACGGGGAGGGAGGCAGAGGCTCCACATTCTGGGACTTAGCATCTGCTGGAGCTCAGACCGCTGTGCCTATGCCTTTTAAATGTAGTAAGAACTAGGCGGCTCCTCGTACTATATTAATATTTGGGGGTAGGTCCAGGACCTGTGTGCCCAGTTCCTACTACATTTAAACTGCAGAGCTGCAGCGGGGGGTAGCTCCTGGACCCTGTCTTCCCTTATTGACTAATTGTGTAGTCAATACAAATTGTATTGACTACATAATTAGCTCATTACCTGCTTCTTAACATCTTTATATTCAACCGTATCACGGTGCCTGGGTAGAGATCACCATAGGGGAGAACACAGAGCTGCTTGTAGTAGGTCGAGCCTGTCCCATTATCTCGGGTTGGGATTGGGAACACTTCTCTGACATGTTGAGCAGGTATAGATCTGATCCTGGGAACTCAGAGGAAGCACTTGAGGGAACCAGGGTAGCTAGGGAACCCTAGCCCATGACACTGGCTGGAGTAGGCAAGAAGCAGGACCCCATCAAAGAGGACATGGTCCTGGAAGATCTCCCTAGGGAGGAGATGGTGCAGACCATGATCCAGGAAGAGGACTTCATGACCTGAGAGACAGAGTTGTGAAGATGAGACCTTGAGCCACTTATAGGAACAACCTCCACTGGCTAATGGTGAGGTCCAGGAGGAACAACTATGTTGGAAGAAGGCCATCAGAAGTTTGGTCACAACTGATCTGGCCCATGACATCCCCCCCTGCAGCCACCTTAGACAGGAAAAGACCCTATCTAGCCCATATCTTAGACTGCTTCTTCTGGCCTGGTGAACATCAAGAAGTAAATTTTTGCAACTCCTGCCCTGAATGCTAGTTATTCAGGCCAAAAGTTGTGATGAAAGACCCCCTCATCCCTCTCCTGATTATCAGTGTCCCCTTTAATCACATTGGTATACGCCTGATCGGACCCCTGGAAAAAAGTGCCACTGGATACAAAGACCTGTTGATGATGGTTGAGTATGCTACTCGCTATTGTAAGGTAATCCCACTACATAGCATCAGTGCAAGGACTATTGCCACTGGACTATTGAAAGTCTTTGCTCAAGAAGGAGTTCCCAAGGAGATTCTCATCAAAGAAGGCAAAAAGTTCACGTCTCGTACAATGAAACAGGTCTATGATCTTCTGAAAGTAAAGACCCTCCACACCTCAGGTTATCACCTGAAAAACGGATGGCCTGGTCGAACACTTCAACTGAAGCAGATGCTAAAAAACTTATGCCAGAAGACCTGTGGCATTGGGATTAACTTAGTCCCTTCCCCCCCCCCCTTTCTATTTTCCATCCAGGAATTCTCACAATCCTCTGGGCTTCTCTCCAATTGATTTCTTGTATGGGAGACTGTCCTGGGGAGTTCTTGACCTAATTTGGGAAAAGTGGGAAAGACAAACTCCAAGAACTCAGAATGTCCTACAATATGTGTTGAGTCTCAGGGGGAGACTTTGAAATGGTACTTTGTCTGCAGAAAATCTCAATGTCCAGCAGACCTAGGAACACTCCTATAAGAAGGGAGTGTGGGGATGCACTTTCAGGCCAGGTGATGGGTAGTACTGTGCCTAAACTACTGAGCAAGTGGCAGGAGTTCTGTGAAATTGTGTGTCAAGCTGAATGGGCCAGACAGTTATGAAGTTAGACAACCTGACAAACAAAAGTGCACACAGTGCACACGCATCAATTTGCTGAATGAGTAGAAAGCCTATTCATAGCTCTGTGCCCACCTAAACTAGAACTGGGACTTCAAGTGCCTTATTCCCTGTTCCTACAGGCTGTACAGGTGGGGGAACAACTTAGCCCTGA